TATCCTTAATCTCCACACCCTTCTGTATTTCCACCAGCTAACGTCTCTCTGAGGTTCAAGCGAACCTTGATATTATATTAATTTATTTATACACACACGCACCCACACACATACACTCAATTGTTCATTACCAAATTCATATTCCTCCTCATAAATGCATTCAGTAATTTAACTTATTAAAGCAAAGTTTATGAAAATCATCCATTGTATTAATACCCACAAATATTTAGGGAGATCTATGGAGTAGTACATAACTCAGCTGAATACAAATTGGTTTTATTTGTAGATGACATTCTTTTGTTCATTTCTGAACTTCACACTACTATTCCAGGGTTGATGCAAATGATAGATGCTTTTAGCAGGATACTCTGTTAACTGGCCCAAATCAGAATTGGTGCCAATAGTTGCAATTGGTTACCCATCCATTTAAGGAATATCAATTCTGTATTTGTACCGAATCCATTAAATATCTAGGTACGTGCATACCAAAAAATGTAACTCAGTAGCATAAAACATAGAGAGAGGTTTCTTCAGATATTGATAGATGGAAGTCATTAAACTTCACCCTTTGGGAAAGGGTAAATGCTCTCAAAATTAATATTATTCCCAGATTAATTCATATTCTGAGAGAAATTCCAGTTCATATATCTGGAAAATATTTTCAGAAAATAAATTCTTTGTTTAGAAAATTTCTATGGGGTTCTTCACTTCTGAGAATATCTTTACAGAAAAGGCAACTACCCATTAATGAGGGAGAATTCAGTTTTCTGAATCTGGAGCTACATATCATCATGCTTACCTATTGTCAACAACTGATATCAATTTTCCAATTTGGGCAACTTTGGAATATATATATGTATAGCACCCTCGGTTGGATAGACAGTATTAGGATCGAAATACACTAGAAGTCTAGTATCTAAAAATTGGGAAAAAAGATGGTGATATGGAAAAACTGGATGGAGGTGGGGATACTGACTTTGGACCAACTGATAGATGATGGATGGATTTTTAACATATGCTATGTTAAGAGATAAATATCATCTATCATATGTAACCCAATGGCAATATTGACAGCTACAACATTTGTTAACAAGACCGTTTAGACTAGCAGCATTTTCAGCTTCAGAGACACCCGAGATACTAGAACCGTTTGTTAAATCCTTTAAAACTAAAAAAAAAAACCCAAACCACTATTAGTTTTTATAGATATTTGCTATCAATAAATCAATTTGATATGCAGATGTTTAGAAATGAGTGGAAAAAGAATTAGAGGTTCCTATATTGCCTAGACAATGGGACAGCATCTTAACTTCTATAGCAAGAGTGTCAATGGACTTCAAACTACGATTTACACAGTGAAAAGTAATATTTAGAATTTATTGGACTCCACTTTGTATAAAAAAGGATTAAGACAGCATTCTGTTGGAGATGTAATAAGGTTAATGCTTCTTTAAAACACATGTTTTTACAATGTCCTATACTTACTAAGTTTCCGGAGAAAGTAGTGGACTGTGTAAATATGACTGCGCAACAAAAGCTAAAATTTTCAGAGCATAATATTCTCTTGAATTTCATATCTATTACATGGAATTTGACAACTGGACAATGTAAATGGATTCTCCGTGCCCTTACTATGGCCAAAAGACTAATATTACAGCACTGGAAAGATAAATGCATGGCCCCATTTACTCAGTGGATTGAAAACCTGATTACACTTGCCACCTATGAGCTGATTGCCTATAGATGTAGACTTTGTATGGACAAGTATAATGAAATATGGAACTCATTTATATAAAATACAGTAGGTTAAAAAGGAATGGTAGTTATATAAGTGTATTAGAAATAAATATATATGCACTTGAATTATTACATTCATTACATTAGATTAAATATATATAGAATTGTAACTGTTAACTGTTATAATGATATATTATACTTTGTTTCTTTTTTATTTTTTTAAAAGCATTTTTATGTGTTGTTTTTCTTGAGAATGTAAGTATTTGCATCATAATTTTCTTTGTGTTTTGTTTTTTCTTTTTCTGTTACTATTCAATTAAAAAATTTTAAAAATGCCCACAAATATTCCCTATTTTGTTTATCAATATATTTTAATTAGCGCAGGTCTGTGGTTTTCTTCTCTAAAATAATATATAATTTTAATACTGGTACTTATGGTATGCATATTCATAACTGAATTTCCTTTTCATTTATATTCCTTTTCTTCTTTAATCACAAGTCTTTATATAATATTTGAACAGATTTTATAATTTGCATAATTAAATCAGAGAAGCATTTATTTAATAAAGTTGTCTTAAACTAAAAAAAAAAAAAAGTTTTTATCTATACAGCTTCAAGGAACAATGCCAATAGTCTTTTCTCCTATTTGGTAGTAATTTGCATAATATATGGAAGCTGTCTTACCTGTGTGGCTTTATCCCTCATACAAGGTGTGACTTGCCCATGATTATCACGAGGCCATTGCCCAGCAAGGTATGGAGCAGCAAGTATGTCTAGTGAAGGGGTACGACGAGAAATACTGGAAGGGCTTGATGATGGTGGCCGTGGTTTATCTACATAGAGACACACATATGGCTCCATCAGCAAATATAATACACATTACAGTCAGATTTCCTCCAACTCATTATATTTCTATATTACTTTGTTAAATAATGACTTTAACATATATTCACTCATATTTTTTCCTTACATTTTTCCAGGTATCTTATGCTTAAACAACATAGTCATAGGTTACTAAAATTTAGACTGTACACAAATGCATGAAGTGTACAATGTCTCCCTAATGTGGACAATAGGGAGTGCCTAGGTGCATCCAGAACTAGCATCAATCTTGCATCTTTGGGCGGCTGTCAGGGCCACAGCACCCTAGAAGAGCTCAATGCTAATGCTTGCAAATCCTTTATTTTTTCCTAGCTCAGTACTCCAAACACACTAGGAAAATAAAGCTGCTTTTCAATTTTCTGCATTAATCTAACATAAGACTTTAAGAGGCATTGTGAGAAATTAATTCACTGCCCAATGGCCACTCTCTATTAGGTAAGCTTTCTAAGGTTCCAAAGGCACTTTTCCTAAGGATTACTCAAACCTGGAGTTGCTCCTTGTTGACTTCATTTTTCTTTTTTAACATATATACTTGCATGCATTTTTATTTGAGTCCCAAGCCAAATGAGTAACAGTATGGCATTTCCAGAATGTAGACAAAATTTAGTAAGCTATAGGATACCAGGATACCGTAATTTAGAGAGCATAACTGGAGCAGCAGTCAGGAGGGGGGAAGCTATTTTATGGCAATGCAATTTAAAATTATTCTTATTAGAGTGAAGTAGCATTTCAATATATATTTTACACGTTTGCCTCCTAAGAAAAAGGGCAATGTTTCTTGTATTTACTGGTAGTATTACAGCATCACTGGGAAAGAGATTAAACATTACATCTGAACATTGTTATTTGTTCCCCAGCTAGGCTGCACTGTTCTTAAATAAAATTGCTTAATATTTTTGTATTTATCCATGCTGTGGGTTGTAGCCAATACATCCCATACAGTTCTTTACACTCATGGAGACTTTTGTGAATATTAACAAGTTTCACCAATCTCTGACAACTGTTCCCTTCTGCTAGCCACTCCCAAGAGTATCCTAAGCTTCTAAAAAAAACTGGCTAACTGTGAAAGTGGCTACAGGGTTAAGGAAGGTTTAGTAAAAATAATCCACTCACTTCCTTTTCACTGAATCTTCAGTTGCGTGTGGTATAATGTTTTACTTAAATGTAGACATAAATCTACAAAAGATCCATACTGCATCAACAAAGATTCAGGTTTTTTGTTTGTTTTGGGTTTTTTGAATTGCAAAAGCCATTTATTTATTTTATTTTATTTACTGGATTTATAAGGCTGCCCAACTCCAACAACGTTACTCTGAGCAGTATACCACATAACGTTAAAACCCACACAATATATAAATATGAAATACAAAAGATAAAATGGTGACCAAACACAATAATACAAACAACCAAAAAGGGATCTACTCAATTGGATCCAAAATGCTTGGGGTTTTAGTTATAAATAATTATAAAATATTTGGTTATTACAACAAACCTATGCAATCTGATATCTCCAGATGCTTGGACTTCTATCAGCATCAGCTAAAAAAGCTTCTATGAAATGATTGAGAGTCCAAAACATATAGAGTACATCACATTGCAAACCAAAAAGTTCTACTTATTGAAACAGTTAGAATGCATGCCGTATAGGAAGTGTCATTTTCAAAAGGAAAAAACTTGATTAAATAAATGGTCTAAAATAGCATTTTATTTAAACCACCCTGCTGCTGAAACTGTCTAAAAACAGAGTAAGTGGATTTTTAAATCTAAACTGTAGTAAGATTGTTTGCCAAACAGTATTTTTTGCCACCCAGAGTCACTGAGAGATGGGCAGCACATAAATTTAATAAATTATTATTTTGCAATATTACCTGAATACGAACCCAAAAAGATTAGAACAAGGCTTAACTTCATGATAACTTAAAATTACCAAGTAAATTATGGGATTCTTTTCCTTTGTAAGTAACAAACCATCAGTAATTTATTTATGTGTCTATTTATCTATAAACTGCTTCAGTCAAGGCAACTCTACCTGGTGTATAAAAGCAACAGCTACAGCCAGTACAATAATACATCTACTTTTCACTGATTGTTATTAACTATGGCACCACAAATCATTTACTCTCTTATAACAATAATGGACAACAGACCTGGGGAAATCATCAAAAGATATCCATCTGGGGAACATGGCCAGCATATAAATTTAATAATTAAATAAATAAATTTTTAAAAAAATCCTTTGCTGTACCAGCATCATTTATTAAGCCCATCTCAATCAACCATGTGCTCCTATTCTATGCCTCTACCTTAGCTCCACAATTTACCACATTTTCAAATAAGGACTACTTACAAACCAAATGGGCATCTTATTGTTTCTGAAAGTGACATGGTATTTTTCAAATGTTCTGGCATGCAAACATAGCACTTTTGAAATATAATCAGTCAATACAGTTAACTTCCAGTTACTACCTTCATGTTCTGATACAAATACTGTAGCTACAGTATTAGTAAATTACATATCTGTATTTCATATACTGTTTTCTATAGTAACACTGTATTTGATAAAAGGCTCTCAGACAATTTTCAGAAAACAAACTTTTAAAGGCTATGTAATGTAACTAAGAAACTATCTCAAATACAAACAGAAACCAGATTTTATAGGTATGTTTGTAGTACAGGTAGTCTTCAACTTATGACCACAATAGGGACCAGAAAATTTGTTAAGTGATGCAGCCATTAAGTGAGGCATCACGTGACCACACCCAATTTTATGAACTCTTTTGCTGTTAAGTGAATCACACAGTTCCCCATTGACTTTGCTTGTTGGAAGCAGGCTGGGAAGGTTGCAAATGGCAATCATGTGACCTTCGGATGCTGCAACTGTTGTAAATACATCCCAGTTGCCAAGCGCCCAAATTTTGATCAAGTGAGCACGGGGAGGCTGTGAAGGTCGTGTGAGGACTGGTCATAAGTCACTTTTTCAGCACCACTGTAACAGTTGCTAACAAATGGTCATTGTAACAGTTGTTAACAAATGGTCATAAATCGAGGACTACCTGTACACCTTTTTCTTTTTACAATTTCGAACAGATATCTAAACCACTTAATGAAAAACAGTTCAGCTTGTACCACACTCAGATATCCAAGCCTGAAGTATTGAATCATGCATGTAGTTCTGCAACTTTATTTACTAATACTCAATTATTTTCCTAATATACATAGGAAAAGTTATTAATACAATTTTAAAAGAAGTATTAATTTTGAATCAGTTCCCTGGTAAAGCATCAATTACAGCAACTTAAATATCAAACTGTTTTTGAATATACATATAAAAAGTCCACCATAACTCTGAAGAAAATTTGCTATCCACAGACCTGCATATACAGCAAGACAATATTTCCCCATTTTATCCAATTTCTTCTGAAAGTGAAATTCATATGGGGTTTGTAGACTTTATTATAGTAAACCCTTGCTTTAATAAACATATGTTTAAAAGACTTCAAATGTTATATGCTTCTGTATATGCATTAAATCCCATCTGCCATTTTACACATAAACAAAATACACAAGTGTAAAATTTCATTTGGATTCAACAGATGTTCAGCTTTAATAGAATTCCCATCCCCATATTGGTCCATTAAAGGGAACGTATATATAGAAGGCCAACACAGAAACATAAAAGCATAGCAGAAATCTATTGTGTGCTTTCATGCTAAGGACACAGAGCTTGTCACATAATACTTAGGACAACTGTAACTAAACTGATAATTTCTCATTATTTTATACCCTTGAAGCTTCTTTGTTCAATTTATTACATTATTACAGTTTATGACATAGCATCCAGAAATAGTTTACCTTTATATCCCAGCAGCTGCCCATCTTGACCAATTCTTAATTCCAGATAAAAAGATGTATTAATTAGGTAAATGCCAAAATATGTGTGTCTGCTAGAGTTTCAAGACTGCAAATATCAAGCTCTATTTAATTAGGGTTACCAGATATGAGCTGCAAAACTCCAAATAGCCTCTAAATAGCAACAGACAACTTCTTTGCTCTAACTTTAATTGTGGTGGGTGTCTGGATTTGTGTTCCCTAGACATGGTAACCTTACACTTTATTCTACAAATGAACTATTTTAAAACTTTTTTTTCTGAATCCATTTTCTTTCATATAATTTCCTGGGCTGACTGAAAATATTTCATAAAATACAGTCTGCCCCATGCAGTATTTTCATTATAATTTCACATCAGTTCTGTTATTCATACCATCCCCCTCATCTTCTTTTTCCCACAACTGCCCAGCTGCTAGTTTCACATGATGTGACCTACATAACAAGAGACGTACTTGCTTCAAGATAGCAGTTACAACAGCTGGGAGGATGAGAACAGTAGTGGCATTTGAGCAATGTCTTAATTTTATTGGACCAAATTACACTATGCCAATGGTTACAAAACTATTCACTGTTTCCTCAATTTGAAGTTCTCCTCTCAAAAGAGCAATATGATTATAAAACTCCACTTTAACAAACACGCAATGTTCATGTACCATACAGATGAAATATAGATTGTACAGTTGTAGAGGTATTAATTAAACTGTTAAAAGATCAGAGTCCATTTTAGCTCCCAACACAATATTCTTGAATATTTTTCAATTGGACTCACTTCACTATAGGAAAAATCTATGGTAAAAATTCATTGAGATCCTGCATGAACTAAAAATTAAGTAGAATGAGCAAATAACATGGTTTGTTGAATGTATGTTTCATCACAACTCAATATACTCTTTACTCAAATATTCAAATTGCAGTGGAAATCAATTAAAAGTACATGTAGAATGTACCTGCAGAATCATATTAAGACATCTAGGAAAAAGAAAGGAAGCTTTATATTTTCAGTTTTGGATAATTAATATACAAGCAGGCTCATTAGAATACATAAAATTATTTCTGAGCTGATTATCTCCAGGACTTTCCTGCTCCCATGACTGGGAAAACTACGACCTGGTAACATAGAAGCTGGCTTTTCATAAGGACCTGAAGAGATGGTTTTGCCAATGAGCCTGGGGACACGGGAGTGTGATACAGCCAGTATAGTGACTGTACTGATTGCTTTGATGAGTGGGATTATTGGCTGTGAGTTTTGCATAGTTCATGATAGGTTTTTTTTAATATGCTTTCATCGTTTTTTCCTTGTTTTTTGAAGTTTTCATATTTCTTTTACTTGTTTGTAAGCTGCCCAGAGTCATATACTGTATATGAGATGAATGGTTATATAAATTTGAAGAATGAATGAATGAATGAGTGAGTGAGTGAATGAATGAATAAATGAATTAATAAAAGATCTGCAACACTGACCACACTAAGCAATAGGGATGTTTGGTAATCCTGAAAATCTGGTTTTGGAAATAAACCAACTTGAGTCGTACCTCTGAAAAAAAAATGAACAGATAGGAATAACTATTCTTCTAGTCCAGTGTTTCTCTGAAATCTGTGAAGAGTTTATCTTAAAAGTGCACCCAACGCTTACTTTTTACAATAAAATGCATACATGTTTTTTGCACTTTTAAAAAATAACAGACCAGAAGTAATTGATTTGTCCGTGCTAATACAAGCTGGTAAAATAGAAGTGTCTTTACCATCTCCATAACAAGGTTCCCGCTGTAGAGAAAGCTATCATAAAAAACGGAGCAGCTTATGGCTTTGCTATCATAAAGCTATAACATAGAGTCCATTTCAGAATAATTCTGTAACATTCCACATGTGACATGTTTTATTAATGCTCTGCTTTATTAATGTTTATAATAACTATTAAGACAAAACATGTCTGTTCTGACTACAATTTATAAAATAGCGTTTCAAGAAAAATATCAACTCATGGCAGAAGCAAGAACTCGATGGCATATGTCTCTCCTCATAGTAATGTCAATACTATTCTTAGACTACAGAAGCAGAAATGGGTCTTTTTGCAAAGCATCTGGGCTACATGCTTTCTGACTTGAAAACAACACGGCGGTGTATAGACTGCTGGCACAATCAAGTTTAACTAACCTTAATCAGGTAAAGTGCTAGCTTTCCCTTTGTTCATCATGTCACCACATTGCAGGCAACAATCCAGAAGAGAACTTCAAGCAGCCAAACACATGTCAAACTGTATAATATGCCAACACAGAAGTTCCGACATCACAGTAGGCATGATGGCTAATGAACAGTTTGAATATAATCTAATGCCAAAATTGATGCGAACAGCTGCTGCTTCTCACACACCCCTACTGAACGGCAGCTAACTCACTGAAGATGGCTAAAACATGGATAAGGGAAATAGCTGAAATGTACTATTTATGCATTTATTGAACTGGCTTTAGCATATACAGGTAAAGTTCAATGAGATGTCCTGCAATTTACATAATGTCACAGTAGAAACCCTGGAGAAAGAGAAGATCCAGCCTTATATTCTTAGTCTCAGTCTTACATAATTGTTTAGCAAGTGCAAAAGTGTGTTATTATCTGTCAATTTTGTCGACAACAGGATTTATTGAAAGGCACCAAAATCTAAATCTTTGCATGTAGACCCACAAACAAGTAAATTGTATCTTAAAAAATGGATGCTAAATATGCTGCCTGGCCCTCTGAATTAGTCTTAACTGTCTTATCCCATATTCAACAAAAGCTTCTGAGAACCATCTCAGCTTATTGGTATAGCCGTTCTCCATTTATTTTCCAGGTTCTAATATTGTTGTCTGTAGTATAATAGTTTTATAATGCATACTTTTCCTGTTGCAGGCAGGTGCGCTGTAATACATAAAGTGGCATTCCTTTTTTTTTCTTATAAAATCCATAGAATTATCATTTGTAGGAAAAGGTTATTAATAAAATCTACCAAATCTTCATACCTACAGCAAACTTGGATTTTAGGGGACAAAAAGGATGATAATTCCCATTGTATATTACCAAGAGAGTCTGGTAGTCAGTAGTATACCAAGTTAAATACATTTCAGCATTTATAGAAGAAGTGTTCTGTTTCTCCTTCCCCCAGTAGTACACAGTTAATTTAATTGTTGTGGGTGCCACTAGTGCAACCCATCGTAGATCATATGTATGTATGTATGTATGTATGTATGTATGTTCCTTTTGTGTACAGGAACATCTGCACAGTGTATGGGCTAAATCCCCCCAAGTCCAGATGGGAGATTCCACAGAAGGTTGTGGAGAATAACAGGCCTAAGATCCTGTGGGGCTTCCAGATCCTGACAGACAGGCAGGTACTGGCCAATCAACCAGACATCGTGGTAGTAGACAAAGACCAGAAGACAGCGGGACTGATAGATGTAG